ATTGTAAGGGGGGGCTATGAGGGATCTGGGGTGGCATCCCCTCCCACCCCACTCCAGACCCCTCATAGCCCCCCCCTTCTGATAGTCTGTCATATCTGATAATCCGGCACCACCTGGGTCCTAAAGGTGCCGGATTATCGGAAGTTTACTGTAATTATTTCCCCATACATTACCTAATCAAGGTGTTTGAATCATCTCAGAATGTCCCATTCTTCTCAGAATGTTGTTTTAGACTGTAGATTAGCTTTGGAAGCTTTCCACAGAGAGCCATAGCTTAGTGCAGCTTACCTTTATCCTTCTGTTACTGTTAACAGCATTTTCTAGCTCAGGGAAATCAAGTTCACAGAGTAGCTCTTGCTGAAAATACTTACCATGCTTCTGATGTGAAATGGGGGTGTAGAAGCCATTGTAGGCTGCACACAGAAAATGTATTGCAGAATGGTGAATTACAGTATCTTTTCCTTGTTCTAAGCAGATGATAAGAACAATGGGAAGGAGAAGTTAGACACTTTGCTACATTTTATTTCCAGCTTGAGTATTCAAACAAATATTTCTGTAAAATGTGTTGGAATGGTAGAGGTTTATATTACAGGCCATCACTAGACCCATTGGTATTTTGCCTTGATGGCAGTAGCACATTGAAACATAAGCTGAAACCAATTTCAAAAGTTAAGACTTCATTGTAAAATCAGAGCAAAGATATTCAGTAGCCTAATTTCTTCTATAGCACCTCCGTGCCAGTGACGCCACAGTGGAACATTTTAAATCTGTAAGTCTCCAGTCCCTAGGCTTTTGTTAAACCTTCCATCTGATAAAACTGCTGTGATGTCTCTTTATGATGTAGGAGGCTCATTTCTGTATCTCAGGATGCATTAATCGCAACTCAGCTCTTATGGACTTCTGAAAAACAAACCTTTGGTTTTTAAATATATATATATATATATATAAAAAGAGGAGGATTTTGAATGTTGTGCTGTGACATACTGGTATAGAATATATATATATATGCATATGCATGCATATAAGTACCATTTGCCATCTTTTAAACCATTATTTCAATGTACCCTAAAGAGTTATGGCCTAAACTTTGAATTTCCATATTTTGCAGCTTTTAGGGATTTTGAATCTGCAATATTTTGCAGCTTTTAGGACAGCCTCCAAAATCTGATGCTTTCCCCTGGTGAGATCACTACATTTTAAATGTCTACACTGTATATGCAGTTCTGATTATATATTAGTGGAGAAAGCTTGTTTCATGCTAAATCACTTTTTGTTCATCATTACATTATAGCAGCTCCAGCTGTATGTCTGATAATCATTTCTGGTATAGTTTAGGACAAATGCTCTGGTAGCTTCAATCATCATTACTGTTCTCTCTCTCCTGCCTGGTTTGCCAGCTGTTACGCTCACAGATTCAGGCTATTGCCTAAACAGGGATCCTTTAGTAGTACTTTTAGAAATTTGAAATACATATGTTTATAAAACCTCACTATGAATGTGTTACAGGCAGTTCAGAGCTCTGCTGAAAAACATGTTCTCCTTTCCAGAACTGAGCTAGAAACAAAATCACATTTTTTTACATAGATTTTTAAATCAGAAAGGATCATTATGATCCTCCTAATTTAACATGCAGCATAGTACAGACAAAACAATTTCACCCAGTTATTCCTATACCAATCCCTTATCTTGTGGCTGAGCTTCAGTTTATTTCTCAAAAAGATCTTGATTTTAAAACTTCATGCCAAGGAGAGTCGCCATATCCTTGATGAGTTGTTACAATGGTTATAATGACACTCACCTTTTTTGTGCTCTATTTCTTGTCTGAGTTTGTTCAGTTCTATCTTCCCGCTCATTAGATCTTGTTAATGCCTTCGTCTGCTAGACTGAAGAGCCCTCTACTGTCAAAAATCTCTGAGAACAGCTACTTGTACATCATGATCAAGATCCCTTTTAGTGTGATATTTGAGAAGCTAGACAGACTTAGGAACCTCATTTGTTTTAAGGCAGCTTTCCCCTACCTCAGATAATTCTTTCAGCTCTTTTTCTGAACCCTGTGCAATTTTTGAACATCCTTTTACAAGTGTGAATATCAGGACTGGACACAGTGTTCCATTAATGGACTCACCAGTTCTAAAGACATAAATAATATTGATTATGATCCATAAGTCTGAAGTCACTGCTTCACAGGATTCAGTCCTCAATCTTCTAAATGTGATCTACATGCTTCGTTCCTAGATGAATGGAAGTACAGTTGGCTGTATTGAAACAAGTTACTCAAATGCGTCCAGCTTATGCAGGGATCCAGATTTGTCTCTCACTGAACGGTCATTATTATACCATTCCACTATTTTTGTATCCTCTGCAAACCATACCAAGCAATTATTTTGTTTTCTTCTGTGATGGGGTAAATATACTCTACCGTGAGAAGGAAGGGGATAAGCCAGTGCTCTTAACAGTGGAAGCCTCACCCACCTGACACTGTTGGGCATGCTCCAACTACCACACGATAAAAGAGACTTGCCCAGCTTAGTCTGGGCTAACTGCTGAGGAGGAAGAACATGCTGTGCCAGCCTCTGCTGAGGATCAGCCTGGAACCTGGAGCATGGGAGCTGGAGACTCTGATACCAAGACAGACAACCAGATGCTTTACGCAGAGCACAGATAGGTGTGAAGCATGGGAGGGAGGCTGATGGGGCACATAACACCCCAAACAACATGGCTGGGTGGGACAAGGGGCCAGAGCCTCTGGACAGCCTGGGGCTTAGAGAGGAGGGGGAAGGCTGGTGTCTGCAGCACAAGTTGGGACCCCTGCACTCACCAGCAAGGGAGGGAAACCGAGCAATGTAGCTCCACTCTTTTGGCTGCATTGTTCAGGGGTGGAGTGGGACCAGCCCCTCACACTCACCCGTGAGAAGTGGAGTAACACAGCTGGCAGCCGGAGAAGGGGAGGAGTGAGCTGTGGCCTTGTTACTCTGCTTCCCAGCCCCCACCACTGCCAGAGACTGCAGGAAGGGCCCGACCCCTGCTGCCGCCAGTGCCAGAGTCCTGGGGCAGAGAGTCCTGGCCCTCCCCCTGTGCTAGGGATGGCACAGGGAGGAGTCTGTTGTAGGGGCGGGGGTGGTTACATCGCTACATGGTGGGTCTCCATGTTCTTTCCCACCATTTGCCTCTGAGCACAGCCAACACCGAAGGAGCTTCCAGACTCCGGAGACACCCCACGAGAGAAGGGCCCAGTAGAAAGTGACCTAGTAAAGGTGTGCAAGTGATACCTCTTACCTGAGTGAGTCAGTGGAATTTCTCACTGATTCAGTGGTAGGCCAATCCACTACTGGTAGTGCTCTGGGACTGGCCTTCCCTCCTATCCCAAGGTATGGGCCACTGGGCCACACTGCCCTGAAAATAGGGGCTAATATATATTGACTCTAACCATTGGGCCACACTGACCTGAGATTAGGGGCTGAAACCTATTGACTTGGACCATTGGGACATGCTGCTCTGAAGTTAGAGGCTGATAGCTATTGACCGTAGGCAGCATTGCTCTGAGAATAGGGGCTAATATATGTTGACTTGGGCCAGTGGGCCACATTCCCCTTACACAGAGAACTGATCATTTTGATTCTGGCCACTAGACCAAGTGATTTGAGTTGCCAGCTCCACCTGAGTGATGTAACCATGGGGATACTGCATCATCAGCCCACCCTCAGATGGTGGGGGTGAATAGACCCTGCCATATCTTCCAAATAATTGATATAGGTATTGAGTAGCATTGGGCCAAGAAACAGTGTAGTAGAAAAATAAAATACTAACATTTCACACTGCTTTTTGTAGACCAAACATTTTTCTCTGAAAAATTTAAGTCTACATTCACACTGAAAGACTATTAATCGCCACTTTCAAGTGCTACAACTGTCCGGCCTAATGCACTTTTGAGAGGATAACAGTATCCCTGAGGAGCCCTATTTTGCAGCACAGCCTGCTACACGATGCTTGAATAGAGATTAGTTTCCTTTTTTTGACAGACAGAATTGAATTCTGTGTTATTGTAAATTCCAGCTGGGTGTATATGTTTAGAGTGATGTAAAAAATGTGCTTACCCACATTCAGGTCTTTGCTGGGCACCTTTTATTTGGAGCTACCTGGTTTGTTTTTGGACTGATAAAATTATTGCTACATGCCATTGTTCTCCTAGTTTCTGACCAGTCTTGCTTGAACTGAACATTCATTATGTGTCATGACTGTTTTACTAGTGGTACGTGATGAAATTTTAAAATACCCATAAAAAGTATTGCTTTAGTAAATCAAGCTCACATTGTCTGG